ATTAACCTTTGCATTTGTTTTGTGTGAATAATTCATGAATTTGTAAATTGATTGCACGTTTATCGAAATATATATATATATATATATAAATATATATATATATATATATATATATATATATATATATATATATATATAGAGAGAGAGAGAGAGAGAGAGAGAGAGAGAGAGAGAGGAGGCACGGTGGAGTAATGGATAGCGGCTTGGATTCAGGAATCGCAGAGCCGAGTTCGAATTCAGTCGAATCCATTACATTCACTTACGTGCCAATACCCTTGAGAAAGGTGTGAATTCTCTTCTTCTCCTTCCAGCTTTAGGTAAATAGCAGGACAGACTGGGTTCTATAGCGTTGGATAGCAACTGGTCTAGGAGAAGGACAACTCTGAATTCAAAACCTGCGGAGGGTCGTTTGGGGACCTTGTGGCACGTAGTGCACCAGGTCTCTGTATTCGGCCCTTCAAAAAGTGTGGATGGTCCTGCACGAAACCTTCACTATAATCAAATCTCATGTGCCGTTGTCTGGCTGTCGGTTTCCTATGAACTGATCTGCTTGACCCTCATACGTCGTATTCGTATATATACAAACAGGTTTTTAGTTAAATAATTTAGATATATAGTGTCGATTAGATTTCGTTGTGATCCTCTTAAGTTTGCGGCTTAATTTCTTGGTAGCTTTACAAAATTGATTAAGAAAAAAAAACAATATTTCTTTCCAATAGTATTTATTTTCTCAAATACTTTCGATCTCATCTGAGACCATCTTCAGGGGGGGTGTCTGTGAGTACGTATGTGTTTTTATAAATTCAAACAAAAACTAATTGACATGATATATCTAGATTATTTAGCCAAACCTATTTGAATGAAAATACGCTGCCTAAATAAACACAATATATATATATATATATATATATATATATATATATATATATATATATATATATATATATATATTTATATATATGTGTGTGTGTGTGTGTGTTCAGGTATGTAGAAAAAGGAAAGAACACGTTAGGTAAATAATCCAGGGTTCTTTAGTATTTTTGTTTTTATTTTTAAAAAACAGTGCTCCATACAGAAGTAGAGCTTAAATTAAAATTATTTTTTTAAAGAAATATGATTCCTTCGCTACATAAGAGTTCTCATGTTTCAAAAACGAGAGCCGAAAACCTCAATATATTAAAATTAAATTGAATTAAAGTATCAAGCCCTGTTTCATCCTCAAGCGAAAATTTAGGAATAACCAATCTTGAAATTTACGCATCTTTATAAGCATGTTCATTCGCAAAATTAATTACTATGGAAACGGCTAGAGCGACCATCTTGATAAGGGGCATAAGAGTTAATTTGTATCCACATAACAGTCACCTTCGGAAAGAGGTCAAGTCGGGGTGTCCATTTCAAAGCGACTGATGGCAGTCATGTACGCACATCGTCTGCTCAGTCACAGCGAAAGATAGCTGTTGGCACCATAATACGTCGTGAAGTGTCTAAAGAATTTTATTTTATTTATTTATTTTCCTAAAGGGCCGTTTCGTACATAAACGCGTCGCACTGAACTACAATTTGTTTTTTTGTTTTTTTACGACTTCATAAAGGGTTTTTCTATCTTATGATTGGGTTAAGCTTTTAAACCTTTTATTAGACTATGAAATTTAATTTTTTTTATGCTAATTATTTAATGTGAAAATTTGTTGATGTCCGCAAAAACCATTAACTCATGTCTATGGTTTAATAAATTTTCATTATTTAAAAATTTAATAATGGAGAGTTTTTCATGTAGGCGTAAAGGGCATGGGATAGATAGATAGATAGATAGATAGATAGATAGATAGATAGATAGATAGATAGATAGATAGATAGATAGCGTCCACCATAGTTTCGAATATTTCAGAAATTTCTTTAAATCAATTTTTTTCTCAACGTTACTTTTCTTGAGTGGATAAAAATAAAAATCTCTACATTCATTTGTTTTGCAAGGAACGAAACGCGTCGGCATAAAAAGTTTTTTTTTTTTGTTTTGTTTTTTTTTTGTTTTTAATATTTAACTGTCTAAACACAAAGACATATCTGAAATATGTGAATCCTTTAATTTCACTCCATTCAGAGAAACTGGGGAGGGATTTGTTACAATAGATTCAATACAGAACTGCTGCGAAAATATAAAAACAAATTTTGACAAAATGGAAAAGAAATGAAAACAGCTTAAACTAAAAAAAAAAAAAACGGCTTTCATAAAAATAAAAGTCACATTTTTTTTTTTCATCCGGAACGAGGGATGCCAGCTTAGCGAAAATATATTATGGATTTAATACACACACACACACACACACACACACACACACACACACACACACACACAGAGAGAGAGAGAGATTCTGATTTGAGGATGCCTACCTAAAGATGCCGAAACAATTAATCAAGTCAATAAAACAGTTTTCTGCTTTGTCTAATGTATCAAATGTATTGTCTGGATTCTGTATCTATCTATCTATCTATCTATCTATCTATCTATCTGTTTCAGTATTTATCTATATACCTGTCTGTTTCAGTATCTATCTATCTATCTATCTGTCTGTCTGTCTGTCTATCTATCTATCTATCTATCTATCTATCTATCTGTTTCAGTATTTATTTATATATCTATCTGTTTCAATATCTATCTATCTATCTATCTATCTATCTATCTATCTATCTATCTGTTTCAGTATTTATCTATATACCTGTCTGTTTCAGTATCTATCTATCTATCTATCTATCTGTCTCTCTGTCTGTCTATCTATCTATCTATCTATCTATCTATCTATCTGTTTCAGTATCTATCTATCTATCTGTTTCAGTATTTATCTATATACCTGTCTGTTTCAGTATCTATCTATATCTATCTATCTATCTATCTATCTATCTATCTATCTATCTGTCTGTCTCTCTGTCTCTCTATCTATCTATCTATCTATCTATCTGTTTCAGTATTTATCTATATATCTATCTGTTTCAGTATCTATCTATCTATCTATCTATCTATCTATCTATCTATCTATCTATCTGTTTCAGTATTTATCTATATACCTGTCTGTTTCAGTATCTATCTATCTATCTATCTGTCTCTCTGTCTATCTATCTATCTATCTATCTATCTATCTATCTATCTATCTGTTTCAGTATCTATCTATCTATCTATCTATCTATCTATCTATCTATCTATCTGTTTCAGTATTTATCTATATACCTGTCTGTTTCAGTATCTATCTATCTATCTATCTATCTATCTATCTGTCTCTCTCTCTCTCTATCTATCTATCTATCTATCTATCTATCTGTTTCATCTATTTATCTATATCTATCTGTTTCAGTATTCAGTATTTATCTATATACCTATCTGTTTCAGTATCTATCTATCTATCTATCTATCTATATATCTATCTATGTATCTGTCTCTCTGTCTATCTATCTATCTATCTATCTATCTATCTATCTATCTATCTATCTATCTATCTATCTATCCTACTCTCAGAACAGGCAATCTTCAAACCTTATAAGTCTCTCACTAGTCAACGCCTGAATCTAACACCATTTATTGAAGATGGATTTGGGGAGGGTGATATCACAGGTGCTGCATTCATTGCACACTCTGCAGCATATGACACTGTCATGCTCTGAACCCTCACGGAGAAGTTGTTTGAGATGACTGGAGGATTGAAGCTCATTCGCCTCGTCAAGAACATGCCAAAGAGCCGATTCTTTGTGGACTTCAGTGGAAATTGGAAATCTTCCTACATACGGCTTATTTTCCAGACCCATTAAATTCCGATTATCACTCGCTCTATCCAATTTTTGGGCTCTTGTCAACGGTTTTTGCCAGGTGAAAATAAAGAAAATTTCAGCGTTGAAATCATCGAATCAAGACTGTTGACATTTTTTACGCCAGCCGTGGTAGAGCCGGTTTGATTTGGTTTGGTTTGGTTTTTGTTTTACGGTATATCAACCTCAATGGGTTTTATTTAATGATGACACGATTTTCATTGCTGGTAATATTTTTTTCCCCAAAAATTTATTGCTGGTAATATGTTTTTAGGGTTTTTTTTTTTTTCAAAAATGTATTGCTGGTAATATATTTTTTCGAAAAATGTATTGCTGTTAAAAAATTTTTCAAAAAACTATTGCTGGTATTAAAACCTATTTTTATACTTTTATAGTGTTTTTACCCCTTTTGGGATGGTTAACTATTTACCCATAGCTGGGACCCTGACAAGTGCTACCACCCCGGGTCAGGGTGGACCTGGGAACACCAGCAATTAAGAGGTGGTTCCACGCTCCTCAAAACCTCCTGATCAGAGTTCTTGCTGTCGAATGTAGTTTATCGTGATACCAGAACGTTGGCAAAGTCGATTGAAATTTGCAAAATCTTTTTATTAATCAGTTTTTTTAGGAAATGGCTTTCTCAAGATCGCTTTCCTCGGTATTGATGAGTGTTTCCTTCCTTACCTTTTCTTTGGAGAGATCTGTGGAATCTCAACGTCTTGATTCTGACAATATTTTCTCTTCGAATTACATGAGCTATTCATTTTAGTTGTCGCAGCTGTTGAAAGTCTTCAAGTGATATAAATTCCATTACTTGCTACATTTGTTTATTCGTGATTCTGTAGCGCCATTCCATGAGTTTCGAAGAAGGGTGGTCATCGCCAAGACATCCGGGGATCATTGCGAATTGTATCTCTAAATAAAAGAAGTATTACTGCTGTGAATGAAGCAGATGCTATCATCTTGTACACCCTGGTAAAGACTAGAGTAATTTGGGGGAAAGATACACGCGCGCGCGCGCGCACACACACACACACACACAGAGAGACGCGCGCGCGCACACACACACAGACACAGATAACTGAATAGGCGTAAGTGCACAGATATTAAAAAGACGCACAAGTTATATATTAAAGTAATATTACTTCCATAAATGAGGTATATCACAAGATTTTAAACTTCCAGATGGAATCTCATCTAACTTAACGGACTTCCTTGTGAAGAGATTGTGATAGGTATGAACTAACAGAGATAGATAGATAGATAGATAGATAGATAGATAGATAGATAGATAGATAGATAGATATTACCAGGCAGATAGATAGATAGATATTACCAGGTAGATAGATAGATTGATAGATAGATATTACTAGATAGATAGATAGATAGATAGATAGATAGATAGATAGATAGATAGATAGATATTACCAGGCAGATAGATAGATAGATAGATAGATAGATAGATAGATAGATAGATATTACCAGGTAGATAGTTGAGATTGATAGATAGATAGATATTACTAGATAGATAGATAGATAGATAGATAGATAGATAGATAGATAGATAGATAGATAGATAGATAGATAATGAAGAGACCGAAATGTTTTATTTTTACAGTTTTTTTACTGAAATAACATCTTTAGTAATTTTTCTTTCAAAAACTATGGCAAAAATATTTGTCATCTCCCCCTCCCACACATTTTACGATGTTCACTTACTACAAACAGTATTTCTACAATGTCTCATGACAAATAACTCATTCAGTATACAAGTCATTTAGTATACAAGTACCACAATCATATTGAATCCAGCAAAGATCGGACGCGGTACAGTAGTATAATAATTCTGACTATTTTTCTAAATCTACTCCATTGCAAGGCCCCAGATATATACATTCACGATTAATAGTGTGACTTTTTCAGTTCATTTCTTTCAATGTTTTTCTCTTCGTTACATAATTCAATGATTACTTTAATCGTCATCGTTCTGCTGCTTTGACAATGCTTTATTATTTGTGTCATGTTCTCGGTGCAACTGTAGCTGATTTTTACTGTATTTTTGTTTAATATCTTTTAGAGAGTGCTTGTTGTGAGGGTGTTTGCATATGAATTTAATATATATTTTCTACGTTTATTTTTACGTTTTTTTGGGGGGGACAATGGGTTAAAGCATATGACATTCCGCTTCCTATTGTGCTGTGTGGTGTGTATGTGAGTGATGCCGGGAATCCACTATCATTTAGGGCTGTTTCATAATCTTTCTTGTATTCGTTGAAGATGGTTTCACAGAAAGAATTGTCGGAAAACACTCTCCACAAGATATTAAACAAAAACACACTAAAAATCAGTTACAGATGCACCGAGAACATAACACAAATAATAAAAACACAACAGAAAAATAAGCAACAAACAACCTGCATATGTTCACTTGTAACTGCAACGCAAAGAACGAATGTACCTTAAATGGAAATTACTTACAGAAGAATGTAATATACCAAGACACTGTAAAATCAACAGATAAGGAGGAAAAAATATACATGGGAGTAACTGAAGGACTTTGGAACAAAGAAACTACACACATAAAATATTCTTTACAAATAGTAAATACGCAAACAGTACAATGCTTTCTAAGCATATCTGGGAGATTAAAAACAAATAACACCAAAATATCATGGAAAAATAAAAAAAGCACATCAGCTTACAACAATCAATCTAAAAACTGTAAACTCTTCCTGAAAGAAAAAACAACTATATTTACCTTCCCAGACTAAAACAAACTACTAAATAAACGATCAGAACTCATGTCAAACTGCAGTTACGAAAATAATTTTTTACTACGTTACTTAAAAAGTGAAAACTGAAAACGAACAACAATAAACGAAAATTAATAAATAAAATAAAATAAATAAACAAAAACAAGTAAAAAAAAAATAATCCAAGAAAATAAATAAGTAAACAAACTGAGTAAATAATAAACAAATTAACAAACAACGTCACACAAATGAACAAAGAAAACGCAATAATACCAACCAACAATAAATTAATTAATAATAAATAAAAAAAAGTTAACTGACAACTCCTAAATATCGCCCAAAACTGCATTCGGATGCACAATTGTTCCCACTAAATAGCCTTTACAATAATTCGAAACACAGCGGTTATCGCCCTCAAAAATTAGCGTTAGAATACAATAGACGACCCACAATAGAACCCAATAAACGACCCACCATTAATTACTGACCTGTACATATAAATAGTTGAGCAAAAACACAATGCACATGGCCTGATGATTACGTTTAGCATGAAACAGGCTGTCGACTCTGGATGTTGATTTCAATGTCCACTTTACCACACACACACACACACACACATATATATATAGAGAGAGAGGAGAGAGAATATATATATATATATATATATATATATATATATAGTGATGGGAATATTTATAATTTCCAAACACGGTCAGCACGTTTTGTTCGTTTTCATAATTGATATTACTGAGATTATACTCTCAATAATATCAGTTATGAACACGGCCACAACGTGTTGATCATGTTCGGAAATTTAAAAAAAAACAAGTATTTTCATCTCTCTCTCTCTTTATATATATATATATATATATATATATATATATATATATATATTCTCTCTCTCTCTCTCTCTATATATATATATATATATATATATATATATATATATATATATATATATATATATATATATACAAATGTGAACGAATAAAATATAAATTCAAACTTTCATAACATTAATTTAAAAAAAGGGATCAATGCAATAGTAGAGCGATAATTCGTTATTATAAGATATTACATTCGAACATATATGTTCGAATGTAATATCCTATAATAAAGAATACATATATATGTGTGTGTGTGTGTGTGCGTGTGTGTGTGTTGTAGCTTATTCTTTATTTTGTGCTAAAACTGAAAAGATCTTATCATAACCCAAAGATCTCAATTTCAATAAGAAGGATGTTTAGAAAGTGTATATCTCAAGACCGAGAAAATTTATTAGATTTTCGGGAAACTATGCAATAAAACAAGATTTTTTTTTTTTTTAAAAATGACCTTGAGATGCTCAAATATTTGGTTGGGAGCGAAAGTTTCTTTGAAACAATGAGACCAAAAATGAAATCTCCAGATTTGTTACAAAGGAAAATAGGAAAAATTAATGGATAAGAATATTGAATTTCCAAGCGTGGTTTAATAGAATCTACTTTCGGATCAAACAATATCCGAGAGGAGGTTGCTGATAAGACCAGCGTATCGCAGACTATGGCAGGAGAATCAAGTGCGCACGGGTTTTGATTTCGACTGAGGTATTTCCTCGTTTACGTCTCTCAAATTAGCCTTATGTTTGCAAATACCATGCTATGATAGGGCACGTAAAAATGAATTAAAAATCGGTAAACCCGCCTGCAATCAGATTATCTGTGGATTAAACATACGATTAACCCTAGAACACTAAAGTTACACCACTACTAACCATGTACCATACGCGATATTGAAAATATCAAAAAAAATATCAAATATAAATCTTTATTTGAAATATTTTACATGCAGGAACTTCAAACTTTGTACTTTGAGTTAACATTAATAGGAACTGAAAAACATATTATTTAGGTAAGAAAATCATGTACTGAAAATTGTAATTAAAAATAGGAAAATTTGCGCTGGGTACTATATACCCATGGTTACTGTTCTAGGGTTAAACTGTTACTCCCTGGGTCTTATTATAATCAGTGTACAGTGTAGTATCTGAACACAAAGATTATATATATATATATATATATATATATATATATATATATATATATATATATATCAAATCACACACACACACAAAGATTTATATATATATATATATATATATATATATATATATATATATATATTAAGAAATGGACAAAGTCCGACAATTTATTAAAAACATTTTTATGTTTAACATTCTTTTTTATAGATACAAGTATTTAAGTAAATGCTAAGTTTATAATAAACAGTATTAAATAACATTTACCGGCCTGAATATATATATATATATATATATATATATATATATATATATATATATATATATATATATATATATATATACAAAGGTTTGGAAGCACTCTCCGCAATTTCCAAGCATAGCATAAAAATATAAGTTGCCCGGTCTTTTTTAAAAACTATTTTACCAGTTTATTTCGGGCTAGACGGCTTTCCTCTTTCTAAAGGGTTTTATAATATATTCATTAATAATAATAATAATGTGAAACATGAGGACATCAATAATTTCAGTTGTCGCTGGATCCCTCGGATTGATTGAAGAGATTCATTGAAGGGATCCCTAGTAGACAACAAACAGAGAACCTGTCAGATTGACTACACCAGATCTTATGGTTGTAGACAAGGAAAAGAAAACCTACCAGACTGACCACCCCAGCTGATAGACGCGGCCAAGGGATGACAAATCAACCACCCCATTGAAGAAAAAAAAAAGCGGATCTGATATTCGTAGACAAGGAAAAGAAAAGACATGATAAATCGTCACCCCATTGAAGAGAAAGAAACGGATCTGATAGTCGTTGACAAGGAAAAGAAGAGATGACAAATCGATCTCCCACAGGAGAGAAATTAACGGATCTGATTGTCGTAGACAAGGTAAAGAAGACGTGACAAATCGATCTCCCACAGGAGAGAAATTAACGGATCTGATTGTCGTAGACAAGGTAAAGAAGACGTGACAAATCGATCTCCCACAGGAGAGAAATTAACGGATCTGATTGTCGTATACAAGGTAAAGAAGACGTGACAAATCGATCTCCACAGGAGAGAAATTAACGGATCTGATTGTCGTAGACAAGGTAAAGAAGACGTGACAAATCGATCTCCCACAGGAGAGAAATTAACGGATCTGATTGTCGTAGACAAGGTAAAGAAGACGTGACAAATCGATCTCCCACAGGAGAGAAATTAACGGATCTGATTGTCGTAGACAAGGTAAAGAAGACGTGACAAATCGGCCAAACTCTTGAAGAGAAAAGAGCGAATGTAATAGTCGTAGTCAAGTCAAAGAAGAAATGACATATCACTCAGCCCATTGAAAAGAAAGGAGTGGTTCTTATAGCCGTAGACAAAGAAAAGAAGACATGACAAATCGATCAACTCGTTGAAAAGAGTGGATCTGATAGCCGTAGATAAAGAAAAGAAGAAACGACAAATCGATCAACTCGTTGAAAAGAGTGGATCTGATAGCCGTAGACAAAGAAAAGAAGACATGACAAATCGATCAACTCGTTGAAAAGAGTGGATCTGATAGCCGTAGACAATGAAAAGACCTGACAAATCGATTAATCCATTGAAAAGAGGGGATCTGATAGTCGTAAAGAACGAATTGTATAACAAATCGATCACCATAATGCAGTAAGACTGGAACAGTTAGTAGTTGCCTGTAAATGCAAGATCGACCATCTTTTTCAATGAAAATGAATATATCCGATAATCGTTGCGAGGAAAAGCGAACGCTAAAAAGAGGTGTTAGTCTGACATCCCACTAGACAATGAAGAAGATGGAACCAAGCCAAAAGCAGAAGTACTCGAACATTCTTCGGAAACCTAGAAAAGCGTAGGACGTGGATATTACGTTTGTGCCCATTAATAGTTGCTGCACTTGAAACTAAAAATCGAGACTCATGTTTGGCTGAATTAGCAATTCGAAGATTTGAGTCCATCAACGCTATGGTGTTGCTGAGGTCTGCAATATTGCAAGAGGGAAGTTTTGTAGAGTTGACGGAACTTTCTGTCACTCAATCTCCAGCCATTACAGCCAGACATCTGGTGTGAACGCGCAAATGCATCAAACTTTATTATCTTAAGAATTATAATAAATAATGTGAAATTATATGAAAATAATATTAATTTATCATTACCATTGTTATAATATTATTTCAAGCCAAAAATAAAATTAAGGACCAAGTATGTATTAATAAGAAAAACACAAAGCATACTTTTTTTTTTACCTTCAGAAATGAAAAAGATTGAAAAATAAAAGCAAACAACTTTCTAGTTTGCAAAAATGGAGAAAAGAGGGACTCTAAACAATGGCAGGACATATGACGTCACCGGATACATGCTGAGCTGTTTACAAACTGTCTGGCAGGCGTTAATGGTTGACATAATTTTCCCCGTTCGTTTTTATGTCTGTTGGTTGCAGCGGGATTCTGCCATTTTGTTTTTTGTTCTCTTAGTATTTTGTTCAATTTCCTATTTCAATTTTTTTTTCTTTATTTTCCTTCGCTTTAGTTGAAAGCGAATAAATTCGGAAATTGCTGAGTCACTCCCATAAAGCCCCCTAAAATAGGGTGGGTGTTGACAAATTAAATTTCGACTGCAGACAAATAGTTATCTAAAAAAAAAAAAAAAAAAAGAAAAAAGAACTTTTGAAAAATTAGGTTTAAAAATTGAACTATGGTTCATGACTCCTGCCGACCGGAAATGGATGCTTCGTAAAGCATGATGGGAGGTGGGAGAATTTCATTTTTTTTTTCTCTTATAGTATGATTCACTTAAACGAATAAGTGCCGTTCCAATCAACATTTGTTTTGATTTAATCTTTTTTTTTTCCTTTGTCCCAGTCCGATTCCGCGCTAGAAAGAAAAATGAGTGAAATATCCACAGTTTTTTTCTGTCATCTATTTAATTGGTTATAACAAATTACTATTGAATTACACTGATGACGCAACAGTTATGAATGAAAGGAAATATGGTGACGTAGCACAAACCTTTTACCTCTAACGATTCTTATCTTCGCTGCATACGTATTGCTTTTCGAAAACGTCAAACATTTCAAGAACAGCATATATTTTTTTAATAGAAAACATTAACATTTCATACTATTTACTGCCTGTAGAAAAGCATTGAATCCATTGCTCGGTCAGCTACCAGGAAAGTCGATTCACTGTGTCGTGCGAGACAATTTTTCTCTCCAGAATCTATCTTACATATCTATAAGTCTACCATTCGTCCATGCTTGGAATATCGCTGCCATATATGGTCTGATGCCCCTGCTATTTACCTAGAGCTCCTTTATAAGATCCAAAGAAGAATCGGCAAGATTATTAGTCCTGATATGGCGGCACGGTTTCAGTCACTTACCCATTGCCATAAGGTTGCTTCCCTGTGACTTTTCTATAAACACTTTCATCGTAATTGTTCGGATGAGCTCTTCCCTTACGTTGTCTAGACTCTATGAATTTAAGCGCAGTACGAGACTGCCATCGAGATCTCATCAATTTACATTTGAGCTAGATAGATGTAGCTGTAACTTCTATGCTAACAGTTTCTTTTCTCGCACTCCTCGCCTGTGGAACTCCCTTCCGGCTCCATGCTTTCCAGCCAACATTAATCTGAAAAAATTTAAATGCAATGTCAATCGCTATCTACTGTACTCCTGATGACTCTTTTCTCTTTCCACTCATTAGTAATGTTTCTGTTCCTAATTCCTCCACAGTCTGTAAACTCCTTGTGTATGTCTTAGTGACATGGGGTGATACCGATTTTTTAAAAAAAGTAACTGAATGTATTTTGACACAAGACTTCAACCTGGCATCTCGGCTTCAATTACTTTCCAAACAACGTAAGTAATACTGTAATATGTCTGGGTCAGTCATTGTGGCTAGAAGATAAGATAGATTGGAGAGCAGCCTTCTCTTGATCCCCTTTCTTTGCGTTGGGACACATTTTTTTATTATCAAAATAAATATTACTTTCCAACTATTGTAGCGTCTTAGTGGCTTTATCGCCTTTCTTGGGGCGCAGTGATTAAAATTAGAATATATCTTTGTTCAATATATACATTTTTTATGAGAAAGTCCAAAGAAGAATCTGCAAAGTTATCGCTTCAGTCACTTTCGCACCGGCGTAACGTAGCTTTCCTCTGCCTTTTCAACAAATATTTTCATGGCAGTTGTTCTGATGTTCTCTTTGGTATCTCGATTTCATAAACTTAAGCGTAGAGCTAGATTGGCGGTTAGGTCTTAGCATTTTACTGTTGAAATAGCTAAATGTAACCGTAAGTTCTATTCATATAGTTTCTTCCTTCACATTTCTCACTTATAGAACTCTCTTCCAGCTTCTTGATTTCCTACCAACTAAAATCTAAAAAAAAAAAAAGTTTAACTGCAACGTTTTCTCAAATTCCTTCACTCTATTGTTTTTCATCTACAGTAACCCCGGTTACGTCTTAGTGGCTTTATTGCCGTGCTTGGAATAAGCATCCCTCCATTTTCAATTGAGTTGCGTGTCGCAATTAAAGAAAATACGAAAAAAGAAAGAAAAATGAAAGGACAAACTTGTACTGAGAAGAGGAAAAGAAAAAGATTAAAGAAAGAAAGAAAGAAAGAAAGAAAGAAAGAAAGAAAGAAAGAAAGAAAGAAAATATAAACAGGTAGAAAGAGTGAAAGAAAGAGTGAACGAGTGAAAGAAAGAAAGAAAGTGTGAAAGAAAGAAAGAAAGAAAGAAAGAAAGAAAGAAAGAAAGAAAGAAAGAAAGAAAGAAAGAAAGAAAGAAAGAAAGAAAGAAAGAAAAATATAAACGGGTAGCCGTGAAATATTCACGGGTACTACGAGTTGTATTATAATTCTGATGTTCTATTCTTACTTAGTACAGTAGTACCTACGTTACGCCATGACAATACTTTATAAATAATGGACTATTCCGTTTTGATCACGAGGAAAGATTCTATTTTGTTCCAGGGAAAGAAAGAAAGAAAATATATAGAAGGCAATAATGCTCTCATCTGTTTAATGTCTGCTTCTTTTAAATGAAAAGAAATTATCAATTTTAAACTTGTTCTTTGTACTCTCTTACTTCTTTAAATAATGACCTCCATTCAGTTCAAACTTTTGATTTTTATTGCAATGTTTGTTAAAGATAAGCTCAAATATTTGACGAGGCAATAGCAGAATACCCATGGCTATTTTATAGTTGTAGAACTTGCAAGCAACTCATTCAAACATTAACTTAAGAATTGTGATTCATCAGCAAATTCAAATAAGAACACCGTCCAATTTTCATGGATACTAGTAGATAGTCTTAGCAGTCGTAGATAATATGAAATAGCGCCACATGCTCTCAGGTTAGCGCCTGCGTTGTTAGCCTTTCCGTCAACTTCCGTCTAATGTCTTGTGTGTCTATTGAGCCGTTTGGCTCTCCGAGACGATCCTTTACCGTTTGTAAATTCCTGCCACCTCTCCAAACCCGTAAGAATACTATTCCTGTGGTTTGTTCTTGTAGATTACTTGAAAAAAGACAATTTCCTCGCCGAGCAAAACAAATACAACTGCCAAGTGTCACCATTTTCGCTTCTTAGAGGCCATTTTTTTGATGTTGCTGTTTTTGCTTGTCGGAATAGGGGAGGGTGTGTTCGGGTTTGTTTTCCTTTTGTTTTTGTGCCGGCTCAATTTTTTTTTTCTTCTTCCGCAATGTGACTGGGAAAAGTTGAATGGAAAAGTTTATTTATCTTTGCCTGCAATTCATTAAAAATAATTTTCTAGAAAGAAAGAAAATGTGTGTGTGTGTGTGTCTGTGTCTGTGTAACGGAGAAAGTGTGAGAAACAGAGAGACAGTGTGTGTGTGTGTGTGTGTGTGTGTGTGTGTGTGTGAAGAGAGGGGAAGGAGATTGAATAAAAAATAGAAACAAATTGAGGCAGAATGAACATAGAAAGAAAGAGGCAAAGAAATTATGATATGCGTGTGGAGATTAAAATAGTAACAAATTTAGATAGATAGATAGATAGATAGATAAAAAGACACAAAATGATAAACTGACAAAATGAAGGAACTGAGATAGATAGATAGATAGATAGATAGATATGGATAGACTGAGATAGATAGATAGATAGATATGGATAGACTGAGATAGATAGATAGATAGATAGATAGATAGATTATAAACAACTTGAGATAGATAGATAGATAGATAGGAATTAGGCTGGGATAGATAGATAGATAGATAGATAGATAGATAGATAGATAGATAGATAGATAGATAGATAGATTATAAACAACTTGAGATAGATAGATAGATAGATAGATAGATAGATAGATAGATAGATAGGAATTAGGCTGGGATAGATAGATAGATAGATAGATAGATAGATATGTACAAGGAATCAAACAAACAAAATGGAATATGTATGTGTACATAGAGAAAGGGATAGAGAGATAGTGAGATAGAAAAATAGAAACACATTAAGATAAATAGAAACAGATTAAATTTAGATAGATATGTACAAGGAATAGATAGATAGATAGATAGATAGATAGATAGATAGATGAATAAAAATATAAACAACTTGAGATAGATAGATAGATAGATAGATAGATAGATAGATAGATAGATAGATAGATAGGAATTAGGCTGGGATAGATAGATAGATAGATAGATAGATAGATAGATAGATAGATAGATAGATAGATAGATAGGAATTAGGCTGGGATAGATAGATAGATAGATAGATAGATAGATAGATAGATAGATAGATAGATAGATAGATAGATAGATAGATAGATAGATAGATAGATAGATAGATAGATAGATAGATAGATATGTACAAGGAATCAAACAAACAAAATGGAATATGTATGTGTACATAGAGAAAGGGTGAGAGAGAGTGAATTAAAAATAGAAACACATTAAGATAAATAGAAACAGATTAAATTTAGATAGATAGATAGATAGATAGAAACAGTTTAAAACTAAATCAGAATATCATCATTCCTGACTTGGCATCTCGACTCCACTCACTTTCTCACAGACGTGATATGGCTTCCCTCTGTCTTTTCTATAAATATTTTCATGACATCTGCTCTGACGAGCTATTTTCAGTGGTGCCCAAACTGCATGAATTTAAGCGTGCTCCCAGGTTGGCATCTCGGACCCACCATTTTACTTTGGAAACAGTTACATGTAACCGCCTCTTCTACTCTAACAGATTCTTCTTTTGCACTTCCCTACAGTGGAACTCCCTTCCCCTTACTTACTTCCCTGATAACTATAATATTCAACAATTTAAATATAATGTCAATCGACAACTTCTAATGCCTTGATCCCCGTTCCTACTTTTTATCCTTTCTTTAATCCTCCTATACACAGTCCTTTACTTTCACTGTCTGTAAGCCCCCCCCCCCGCGTACAACTAGCACTCCCCGCCTTGCTTGAGGTGAAATGCTTAAAAAAAGATAGGAACAAAGAAACAATCAAACAAAATGTGATATTTGTGTGTATATATAGATGAGAGTAAGACGGAGTGAATTAATCATAGAAACATATTAAGATAGATAAATAGAAATTAGTTTAAATTAGTTTAAATTAGATTAGATAGATAGATAGATAGATAGATAGATAGATAGATAGATAGATAGATAGATAGATAGATATGAACAGTTTGATAGATAAATTGAGATGCGTAGAATGAGATAGATAGATATGAACAGATTTAGATAGATAGATAGATAGATAGATAGATAGATAGATAGATAGATAGATAGTGGGTTTACAGGCAATACCATGAAAAAATTGCTCAAACTCCCTTGGCACCTTTGGAGATGCCTCAGATGCCGAGTAATGACCCCAGCCCTCTCCTGAAGGAAAGATACTATTAGGATGGATGCTCACATATGGCTTGAACTACATTGTCATGTTCAGAAAAAACCCTATTCCAACTGGAATCTGTTATGACCTTTGTATGTATTCAGTTAATGCTATCGCTTCTATCAGTATAGATATTACATTCTTTTATTTAATCCATAGATGTGGAGAAGAGATTGAAGCATGCCTTCCCCAAGGGGCATGCGTGTGAATGCCAGTTTCCACACCGATAATCGCTAGGCTTACCGCGCATCCTGTTCACTATATTTATTGGTGAAGAACGTCTCTTTTTGTAAAATGTGTTTACTTCGTCGATCCACCTGCGTTCTTCTTTCTTTCTTTCTTTTTCCATATTCATTTTTTTTCTTTTTCTTTCTTAATATTTCCCTACCCTTCCTTCCTTCCTTTCTTTTTTTCTTATTTATATTTATTTATTTAATCCTGTCTTTCTTTCATCTTTTCATTCATTCTTTCTTTCTTTCTTATGAATAATATCAACGAAATATATTTCGGTCAATATTTTAAGGCACGGAATAAAAACAATTAATTCCCAACCTCTTTTCATGCGAAAAAAAAAAAAGAAAGAAAATAAAAAATACCAAGAAAGAAAGACTCAAGATATAATACCTTTTCCAGAGAAAAGAAAGAGGAAGAAAAAAAATGCTTTCCTACGCTTTTCTTTTTTTTCTATCTTGATCCTTTTTTATTTTCTTTCTTTCCTCGCATGAACAGAGGTTGTATGTGATTGAAATCCTAATAAATTGTACTAATCAGTCATTTACTAATGCCTGATGAGATGTGTCGATACACATCGAAACATGATTGCATTTGTGTAGCATTTTTCTACATGTTTGAATGTAATATCCTATAATAAATTACACACACACATGCGCACATACACACGCACACACACACACATAAATATTAAAACCCTTTATTATACATTCAACACTATCACTTGATAAGACACCAGAAGTGTTGAAGTAAAATGGCTCTTTTTGTAGTCATTTTATAACATATTTATGTTATAATTTTCGAATAAATAATTATATATATATATATATATATATATATATATATATATATATATATATATATATATATATTAAGAAATGGACAAAGTCCGAAAATTTATTTATTTAAGACATTGTTTACATTTGATACGCCAGAGCAGTTATGAATGTACGTGATTCATGGAAGATTGAAGTTTATAAGCAGTAAATTCGACCTTGCCTACCGAACGCTCCTTTGTGGCCGAGTCGGTTAAGTCACGTCAGCGTAAATGACGGTTCCGTATAGGATGCAGGTTCGAATCCTGTCAAAGGACGAATATTTTCTATGAAAATTTCTCGGACATTCAGGCCGGTAAATGTTATTTAATACTGTTTATTATAAACAATTATTATGAGCATTTACTTAAGTACTTGTATCTATAAAAAAGAAGAACGTTAAACATAAAAATGTCTTTAATAAATATATATATATATATCGGTTGTAACAGCAAAATTGTCTAAATCGTGTAACAGCATGGGATAATTGTCCATCCTAAAAAATGTTTAATATCTGAAAAAAAACCCACTAACCTGTGTTTCTTTTTCCAAGGTTTTCAGATAAGACGTTTCGACATCTTGACACCATTTGTCGTAAGAATCACTGAAAAACCCTCTCAGCTATTCAGCTAGCAATAGAACAGGTTAAAATCGTTTTGTATCAGCAACACTATGTCTTCTCAACTGAGCAATGGTGAGACGGAAAAGATCATTCAGGTCAACATTCATAATCTAGCTTTCATTTTCAAAGTACATGCAAGAAACATCAAGAGAACGGTGAATAAGTTTAAAAAGAGGGAACAGTAGAAAGGAAAACTGGATCAGGAGGTCACAACAGCAAGAGGTATCATCATTTCAACTTAGAGCTAAATACATTCTTATTGTTCACAGTAGCGTTCGATAGTGTTATAAAAACCTCCGGGAATTCCAGTAAGATATCTTTAATCATTTCTAAAATACAACGGTTCAAAGCTTAATCTAAAATTGGACAATTATGCTGTTACACGAGGTATATATATATATATATATATATATATATATATATATATATATTATATATATATATATATATATATATATATATATATATATATATATATATATATATATATTATTATGAAATGGACAATGTCCGACAATTATTTTAAGACATTTTTTATGCTTATACGTTCTTTTTATAGATAGAAATATTTAAGTAAATGCTCTGTTTTATAATAAACAGTATTAAACAACATTTACCGGCCTGAATGTCCGAGAAATTTTCATAGAAAATATGCGTCATCCGACTGGAATCGAAACTGTATCCTATACGGAACCATCATGTAGCCTGACGTGCTTTGCCGATTGAGCTACAGAGGAGCGTTTTTCGGTTAGCAAGGTCGATTTTACTGTTTTTAAACTACAATTCTCCATGATTTTCTCACGTACTTTCATATCTGTTCGATGCTATGTCTATAAAAAGAACGTATAAACATAAAAAAGACTTAAAATAATTGTTGGACTTTGTCCATTTCATAATGTGTGACGTCATTTGTTTACATTTGGATACGCAATTTCTATTATATGAACTAAGAGATAATAAAGGGGGGGAATTCTGGAGGAACAAACCGCCATCCTCCAAGACAAGATCTATCAACTGTTATTCAAGAAAATTTGAATCGGCGTTATGAGTTGCGTTTTTATTATTATTATTATTATTATTATTATTTATTTATTAAGTACGCTTCATTACCTGGGTGTTGTAGGGGTGGTAGCACCTGTTAGGGGTCCCAGCTATGGACAAATATTTAATCCCCAAACTGGGGTAAAAACACTACGAATGTATAAAAATAGATTTTTATATTAAAAATGCCACCAGTACGTTTTTGTAAAAAAAAATTACTAATGCCCGAAAAAAAATAAATTTCTTCATAGCAACTAAAAGTAAATCAAATATAATATTTTTTTTACCGCTAAGGATTCTAGCTTAGTTAAACGAGTTATATTTCAACCCTACGACCCTTTTCCCCCACAGACGAAACGTCAAAAGCCTCTCGCTGCTGTATCGCTATTTCCATGGTAAATGTTCAGACGAATTGTATTCTTTATTTCCACCTGATCTAACCTTCACGGCCAAGACCCGCCATGCATCGTACATTATAGAGAACCACCCTCATTCCGTTCGTATTCCATTGGGGAGAAATATTTCATTCAAGTAGCTTCTTTCCCTGATTAGTTGCTTTGTTGAACCAACTCCCAAGAGGATGCTTCCCAGATCATTAAAACCATAACCTTCTTAAAGTTCGTTATCTTCCCCGCCTATCCTCATAAGCTGTTCCTCTTACATTGGAACCCTCTGCCTTGAGTGGCTCTTTGGCCTTGTACAGGGTGAACATCATTATAAAAAAAAATAAAATAAATAACCCCTACAACCTCTTTCTTACAGGTCGAAAATAGAGCCATTTATGGGAACGAGCTGCCCAGTCTTCATTTTCCAGTCCCACAGCGTCTCCGCGTCCTTGTCGGTGACGAATTATCTTCCACCCTACAGCCACTTTCCCCACAAATGAAACGTCGCAAGACTCTCGCTGCTCTATCGCTATTTCCATGGCAAATGTTGAGACGAATTGTATTCTTTACTTCCACCTGATCTAAGCTTCACGGCTGAGAGCCGCCATGCCAGGCTCATTATATCTAACTCCCCCTTTCTTATTCCCCTGGTGAGATGAAAGTTCCAGTCGAGTAGCTTCTTCCCACAAACCACTATTCTGCAGAACCGACTCCCAAGAGGTTGCTTCTCCAATCACTGTAGGCCATTGTACAAAGTGAACATGTCTGTCTGTGTTAGATTTTCCTTCTGCTTGTGTCGTTAGGCGTCGGGGTGGGGAAGACACAGTCGTCTTTCAGCGGTAAGGCGAGTAACCTGGAGGAGGGATATCTCGTGGGCTCTGCGAGTGTCTGCCACTGAGTCGCTCCAGCGTCTTCTTGGTCTGCCTCTTGCTTCTCCAGCCAGAGTACTTGAGGGTGTATGCTCGTAGCGCTGGTTGGTTGATAGGCATGCGAGTGAGGTGTCCGAACTACTTGATCTTCTGTCGTTCGATGTCTTGTATGACTGGTCTTTAAATATCAGGGCAGCATCTTTGCTGAAAACGGCAAACTGGACAGAGCAATCAAGACCTGATGTTCCAGAAAGCCAACGCTGTCAGCTACAAACTTGTTCCCCTTCTAAAACATCCTAGCATTTCCATGAGCAGCAAGGCAAATCTCTTCAACGGCATTTTCCTACCAAAGCTGACATACCAGTGCCTGACATGGCCCCTAACAAAAACCCTTGTGAGGAAACTGATCACTTGTGAAATGAAATGTCTGATGAAAGCAGTGAACAAGACCAGGCGAGACAAGATCAGAAATGAGGCAATAAGAGATATGGTAGGAGCAATACCAATCATAGTATTAATAAGCAAAATAATATGATAAAACTGTATGCATGTTTCTAAGATATTGTGCAATGTGTTTCTGTTCTGTATTCTTTTTTATTTCCTTACGAATAAAAGGTGATTTTGTATAGCAAATCTGGATAACCCAAAACAAGTTATCAATATTTTAAATAAAAATAAAGGCTGTTCAATAACTTGGACCGATTTTAAATGTGAATTAAGTTTAAGCGTCTAAAGATTTTTTTCCTTTCAGATTTAACAACTTAAGTCTGGCAATTTCAACCATGGAAAGATTAACAATCAAACAACGTGTTAAAGTTATCGAAGCCTATTACGAAAATGGACGTTCGAACAGAAATTCATTTAAATAAAATGCATTTAAATGCATTTTAAATAAAATTCATTTCAATAAAATAAGAAATGCATTTTAAGTAAATGTAAGGATTGCTTCATAATGACGCATTATTCACTGTTATTCAGAACAAAGACTAACTTGGAAAAGCTTATACAAACGAAAAAGAAATGGGAAAAACTTATGGTGATAGACATGAAACTAAAAGGTGTTCCAATAACTTGGACCGAATTTAAATGTGAATCAAGTTTAAGCGTCTAATGATTTTTTTTTTCTTTTTCTTTCAGATTGAACAACTTAAGTCTTTGGCAATTTCAACCCTGGAAAGATTAACAACCAAACAATGTGTTAAAGCTATCGAAGCCTATTACGAAAATGGACGTTCAAATTTATAAATATACGGCCCAATGATTTCGCTAACAAAAAATGCACACCAAACTGTGACCTTTTGCCAATCAATTCAAATTTTATAAAATGGTAAATAATGAGGATTTCTTTATAGGTGGTTCACATATTTTAATAATTTACAAAATGTTTATAAGTTTATGAATAAAAAAAAATTGTCTTCATATTTATTTCGTTATAAATTTGTAGATCATAAACATAGGATCTTTCAATAACTTTGGCCGATTTTAAATGTGAATTGAGTTTAAGCGTCTAATAATTTTTTTCTTTTTCTTTCAGATTTAACTTAAGTCTTTGGCAATTTCAACCATGAAAAGATTAACAATCAATATATTTTATGTATTTAAGCAGCCAATTCTCTTTTAGTCATGTCAGATTAAATCAATTATAAACATTATGTCTGCTTATTTTGATCATAATCCTTTCACGTTCACGAATATTTTTTCCGTATATTACAATTAAATAAGGCAAGAAATGCACTGTAACAGTAAGAATCACTTTTATTTCTCAATTACTTTCCATCTCTTTCTGAGATCATCATTGGGGTTGTAACTAGAAAAGCAAAAACTATGTGTAGCTATCCATTACAGATTTTTTTTTCTTTTTGCGTTTAGATACAACGGCTGACGGTTTTGCTTTAGCGTTCATTAGAACGTGAAAAAATATCCACTCTGGAATTTTTCTTTAATATGTAATGTCATGGTCAAGCGCGCATTAAAGCGTGAGCACTGTTCTTTTTATAGGCATTTTAAAACATTATTACAGTATTCGTAGCTGATTCTATTCAATCGGCTTCAATATTTTAATGTAGATTGCTTGGAGGATCTGTAGTTTTAATTTGTTATTTTCTTGGTGTAGGATAGTTATGCTATCAATCAGCATTTTTCTATATTGTGAATGTAGACAGGAATGTTGGTGTAGCTGTCTCGCAATAAACGAATGATCAGACATGTGTAGAGTAAAACGCCTTGATAATGTAGTTGTCGTATATACAACATATATTTTAGTTTTTCTGACGGAGATACATTCTCCCAAAGGACATTTGAATTGATATATAATGTTGGTTTTATATAATACATGACTTGGTGGGGAGGAGTTCTTGTAAAATTGGATATAATGGATGTCTCCCAAAATTTGGCATCATTTCGTAGCCAAGTAACATAGACAATTCTCGCTCATATGATCTCAAATTTTAGCAAAATATGTAAAAACTATGTTGACTGTGCGGACTTATCTCAATGAGAATCTATCGGGAAGATGGATCGGGCGTGCCAGTGATAATGTCAATGTGCTTTTGAAATGGCCACCATGTTCACCTGACTTGATACCTTGAGATTTTTTTTTACTATTGGACTATGTGTAAGGACAGATCTATATCCACCTTCTTCCGACATGCCTAGAGGAACTTAAGCAGATAATCACTGAGGCGCTGGAGAATGTTACGGAAAACATGCTACAGCGTGTTTGGCAGGAGCTGGACTACAGACTTGACGTGTATCGTGTCACAGCTAATGCGTATATTAGACATTTGTGAAGCTTTGTGAAATCGGTTATAAAATCTATATCACTTTGAATATCTTGTTCGAATTTTGAAAAAATTAAATCTGTTATTGTTTATTTAATTTCGTTTGCCTGGAGCATGTAGTTACTCAGATATACACATTTTAAATAATGTCAATTTTGGGGGGGTAGCATTGCAACCAAAATATTCTAAAATGCTGCTAATAAGAAAGGATAAAATGAAAAATACCTAACAACTAATCGAGAACACATGGCACAGTGGATAAAGGCGTTAGCTACATCCAGTGACAGGGTCCAAAGAGTATGAGTTCAATACCCGGTTAAGGCAGTGGAGAACTTGGAGAGGGGAATTAACAGGAGATAACTGATAACTGACATCCATTAAAACATGGCACGTGGAACTAGAACAGTCTACCCCAGTGAGCGAAATAAAGGGTTCAGTTCGACATTCCAACTACCTGAAGAAGGCTGAAGCGTACAACGGCCGAAACGTTGTAATAAATATAGCGACAAAAATGAGGAAAATAGTCCGAATAATGTAAATAGTGTGTCCCTCCTTGTATATAACCAATTCCGATATTGTTGTAATTTAGGGGAGGTTGCTGCATAGAATAATAAAACGGAGGTTGATAATGAACGATAATACTTGGGACAAGAACAAGACATATAATATTCGCCAGCGGCACGTAGAAGAAGTAGTCAACTGCTAGAATTGTGTGAAGTGAATTCACAACGAACCTCCAACTGCAGGATATCTACCAACCGCCCCAGGCGGTCAGATGTGGCACAAGGCCGAATTTAATGTGGCGTATCCGTGCCCAAAGGCTCGGTCAAAAATTCCCCGTAGACACCGTATAAAACGGGGTCAGGTAGTTGTTTTTCGAGACGAGACCCTGCCCTTCGACATAGCCTCGTCTGAGGATCCTCTCTGCCTGGGGGCAGAGAGTTTGACCAGCATAGCCTGACACGAATCTCCAAATAATGTAAATAGTGAACAAATCGAATATAATTAAAAAAAAAAATTATTATTTTTATTTATTTGTTATGTAACTAAATACATAATTGTCAAGAATTTTCCGTAAAAGTTGAGGTTTCCTGTAATAAATTCTTAATAAATATTATTATTGTTATTATTTTACTTAAGTGTAAAGGAGTCCCAGATTTGCAAATCCTTACGGCTAACCATGGAAAGAAATCTTGATTTAAACTGCCTAAAACCTTTAAGCGTGTATTGCCGCAAAATTGAATACGTGCCTACTCCGCTGAATGCGTCGTATATTAAAAAGATAATTTATCCATTGGTGTATAATACTTTTGTTCTTGTGTCTGTTTCTTTTCAATACATCAAAAGCTATTTGTTGCCTTTCTTTTGTTCATACAACACTACACAGTAACCTTCTACCTTGAGTGGCCTTCGGGCCTTATACAGAGTGAACATCACTGTAAAAAAAATGGCCATGTGTTACGTTCTGTCCAAAGGTGGGGAAGGTGTTGAATAAATCTAAATCCACTTCGACTGAGTGCTACCAACTCTTCTGCCATGTTGGCAAATGTCTATTGAGAAAAGGATTGTTAAGGTAATGGGTCATATTACGTTGTTTATCTGGTGAGGTTTTTTGTTGTTTTTTTGTTTTAACTTTTCTTTTTTCCATTTTTATTGCGTAGTGCTTTAACCTGCTTTACATTTTCGAGTTGCCCGCTTTGGTTTGTAAAATATTCTGCACGTGGCCCTCATGTGTTGTTGACAGAATCGCCAAAGATTCTGAGAGAAAAGCGAAAAGAAAAGAAAAGATGCCAAATAAAGAAAAACGCAAATTACGAAGAGGGAAGTGACATAATGGAAAAGAAAAGGAATGAAAGGCGACACAAAATGCAAGAGAGGAAGGAAGAAAAGAGAAAGAAGGCGAAGAAGAGATATATGAAATGTAAAGCGGGTGGAGAATGAAAAGAAAAGAGAGATAAAGAGACAATCGAAAGAGAGAGGAGAATGAAAAGAGATAAAAAAAAAAGAGAAACAGGAAATGGAAAGGGGGTAGAAAAGAAGAGAAGAAAGAGAAATATGAAACTGTGATTGAGTGGAGAATGAAGGGAGAAAAAAAGATAAGAAAGAAATTGATAGAGAGTGGTGAATGAAAAGAGAAGAAAGACAAATAGGAAATCGAAAGGGTGTTGAAAAGGAGAATAAAAGAAAGAGAAATAGAAAAGTATGTGTGAGTGGAGAATGAAAAGAGAAGAAAGAGAAACAGATATTCAAAAGAGATAGAAATGAAAAGAGGAGAAACGGGTGATCGAAAGAGTGGGAGGAAAGAAAAGAGAAGAAAGAGAAACATTAAATCGAAAGAGTGGGTGGAATGAAAAGAGAAGAAAGAAATCGAAAGAGGGTGGTGAATGAAAAAAGAAGAAAAAGAAACAAAATTGAAAGAGTTGAGGAATAGAGAAGAAAGAAATCGAAAGAGGGTGGTGACTGAAAAGAGAAAAAAAAAGAACCAGAAAATGAAAGAACGTGGAGACTGAAAATAGGAGACAAAGTAAACTGAACCAGTAACTGAAAGAGTGTCCTGAAGTGCAAAAAAAAAGCATGAAATCAAAAAAAGGTGGTAAATGAAAAAAAAAAAAGATGAAAAAGCAAGAATGACAAACAGGAAATAAAAAAAAGGTGTAAATGAAAACAGATGAACGAGAAATATAGGGAATGAAAAGAGAGAGAAAAAAAAAACAAGGAAGATATGCATTAATTTGAAAAGTGACGCGGAATTAAAAAATAAGAGTTGGGTAGGAGAATGAAATCGATTGAAGAATGAAAAAGTAGAAAAACAAACCGGAAATTCGGTGTAAAATTAAAAACAAAAAAAATTTAACGATGTGAAAAATGGAAAGAAAACAAAGGAGGCCAAAGAAATAACAGACGATAGAAAACGAAAGGAAAAAGAAACAGAGGATTGAATGTGAGGGAAATGAATAAATTATGAATTGAAAAGGAAAGATGGCGCGGAATGAAATCTGAAGAAATAAAAAATGATTGAAAGATGGTTGGGTATCTCAGAAGAACTTGAAATGGAGAAAATATAAGAAAAGGAAAGACTTAATAATCTGCCTTCAGATAGGCGAAGGAAAGAAGAAAAAAGCAAGAGATTTAAAAGTGATATGAATTAATAGGATTAGCGGGAGAAGGAACTGATTAAGAAAAAGTTGAAGAATGAGAGATTGGGTCGAAGAAGAATCAAGTGAGGAAAACGAAATAACAGAAGGAAAAAAAATGAAGAAGATACGAAAAAAAAAAGAAGACGAGAAAAATTCAATCAACAGAATAATAAAAGAAGGAAGAAAAGAAAAAAGGAATTAAAATCATAAGAAAAAAAAGATAGAATTGAAAAAGCAGGGATTAATTCAGAGAATGAAAGGTCTATAATGCAATGGATGGAAATATCTGAAGAAAGAAAGAAAGAAAGAAAGAAAGAAAGAAAGAAAGAAAGAAAGAAAGAACTTTTACTGAGACAAGTGATTTTCAAAAAAGGTTGAAAACTCAAAAGAAAAAAAAAGCAATGAATGAATGAGAAAAATGCAGATATAACTGAATGGAAATGAAAGAAAGAACAGATTTTTACTTAGAAGAGGAAAAGAAAAAAATGGAAGAAAATACGAACGAAAGAAAGAAAGAAAGAAAGAAAGAAAGAAAGAAAGAAAGAAAGAAAGAAAGAACAGATTTGTACCGAGAAGAGGAAAAGAAAAAATTAAATAAAATATGAAAGCAAGAAAGAAACAAAGAAACAAAGATAAAAGAAAGAAAGAAAGAAAGAAAGAAAGAAAGAAAGAAAGAAAGAAAGAAAGAAAGAACAAACTTTTACTGAAATGGGAAAAAATTGAGAAAACACCAAAGAAAGAAAGAAAGAAAGAAAGAAAGAAAGAAAGAAAGAAAGAAAGAAAGAAAGAAAGAAAGAAAGAAAGAACAAAATTGTACAGAGAAGAGGAATTTTATTTCTAAGAAAAGAGTAGAAACCTAAAAGCAAGGAAGGAAGGAAGGAAGGAAGGAAGGAAGGAAGGAGGGGCAGGAAGGAAGAAGGAGGGGGAAGGAAGGAAGGAAGGAAGGAGGGGCAGGAAGGAAGAAGGAGGGGTAGGGAAGGAAGGAAGGAAGGAAGGAAGGAAGGAAGGAAGGAAGGGAGGAAGGAAGGGAGGAAGGGAGGAAGGAAGGAAGGAACAAACAAGCAAAGAAGGTGACGCAATAAACCGTTTTAAATGCGGTAAAAGAAAAACAAACGAGAAAATTCTTGATGAGGAAGATAACAAGAAGGAAAGAAAGAAGGTAAAGAAGAAGCCTTTTCCCCTATTTCCAGAAAGACAAAAAAAGATTCAAACGGTCGAACGGAAAAATTGCCGAGAGCCAAATGTTGCGGACATAACAAAACGAAGGAAAAATATCTCGCAAAAAAAAAAATAAATAAATAATTGGACATTGACAGGTTTCAAAGCGCCGAAGGGATAAAAGCCAATATAAACGGACGCTGTCCGAGATTTGATGAGAAAGAAAAACGTACCACATTTTGAAGAAGTTCTGTAATAAAAAAAAAATTAAAAAAAGAAATCGGGTGGAGGTGTGGGTGCGTCAAGAAAAAAAAAAGGGAGAAATTCTTGGAGTGAGGGTGGGAATGAGCTGGACAGAAATTCCCGCGGGTTAGGATGTTGGAAACAAGTTTGAAATAAAAATGTAAACGGGTAAGTAGAAATAGATAGATAGATAGATAGATAGATAGATAGATAGATAGATAGATAGATAGATAGATAATGAACAGAATTAGATACACAGGCAAATAATGAACAGAATTAGATTGACAGAGAGACAGATGATGAACAGAATTAGATAGATAGATAGATAGATAGATAGATAGATAGATAGATAGATAGATAGATAGATAGATATGGACAGACTGGGATAGATAGATAGATAGATAGATATGGACAGACTGGGATAGATAGATAGATAGATAGATAGATAGATAGATAGATAGATAGATAGATAGATGGACAGACTGGGATAGATAGATAGATAGATAGATAGATAGATAGATAGATAGAGATATAGACAGACTGGGATAGATAGATAGATAGATAGATAGATAGATAGATAGATAGATAGATAGATATGGACAGACTGGGATAGATAGATAGATAGATAGATAGATAGATAGATAGATAGATAGATAGATAGATAGATAGATAATGAATAGAATTAGATAGACAGGCAGATAATGAACAGAATTAGATTGACATAGAGACAGATGATGAAAAGAATTAGATAGATAGATAGATAGATAGATAGATAGATATGGAAAGATTGAAATGGGGTTCATGTTAATTCAGCTTCGATCACTCCGCGCTAATTCCCTTGGAAACGACATGAATCCAACTTTTTCGAGCAATGGGCTTAATAAAAATGTCGACTTGTTTCTCTTGCCGTGTTTGGCAGCCAGTCTAAGAGAAGGGAACCCTAAATTCACATCTATTAGGAATATTTTGGAAATTTTATTTGCAGATTCTTGGTGTGTGATCGCTTCTGCCCAATACTTCACCATTATGAACCAGTCATCGATATTGGGAGACTGGCGGTTCACTTCTAAAAGTGAACTGTTAGAGACTCGAAATTCATTGTGGAATTCTTGATTCTGTGTGTGTGTGTGTGTGTGTGTGTGTGTGTGTGTGTGTGTGTGTGTGTGTGTGTGTGTGTGTGTGTTACTGTCTTTAGAGAATCCTTAAAAAGAAAGACGCTATTACTGTGGAGCCGGTTCGAAACCCGCCCAAATTTCAGGAACGTAGCCTTGTGCCAGACTTTATTAAAATTTATTCAACACTAATAGAGTGTTCAGAGTGAGTGCAAATAATTTGTTCTCTCCATTATTCTACCCTTATATCAGATGCAGCTCAATTTTGTAAGCTAATATCGATTACTTTAGTCAGTTTAACTATCATAGGGTTTTTTTTTGGAGGTGAACCCATATACTGTCATAAAATCAGCATAAGTATTCACAAATGACAGCAGTCTACTCTTAGGCTAATCATTTATGCAAAGTAGGAAGAGGGTGGGACGCAGAAGCGAGCCTTGGGGGACGGCTGCTTTGATCGCTAGGGACTTAGAGGACTGACCGTCTACAATTACCTTCAGGAACCTACCCGTTTGGAAGGAAGAAGAGAAGACTCTTCCAGCGATTCCATAATAAGAGACCTTGAACAGAAATCTCTTTATACTACACCTTGTCAAAGGTCTTTGATCTTTTTTCCCCTGTTACCCCGACTACATGAATTTAAACGTGCTACTAGATTGGCATCTAGGTCCCAAACTTTTACTGTTGAAACAGTTACATGTAACCACCACTTCTACCCCAACAGTTTCTTTTCTCGCACTTCTCACCAGAGGAACTTTCGACTGTTTTGCTTCCATGAAAACTACAAACTTCGAAAAGTTAAATGCAACATCAATCGACCTCTTCTATCCTCTTGAATCCCGTTCATATTTTATCCTTTTCTAAATCCTCCCCCTACCTAGTCTCTTCTCTCACTTTCACTCTTTGTAACTCCCCCTGCATATTATTTGCATTCCCGCCTTGCGTGGAGTGAAATTATTTTTTTTTAATCAAATGCAATCGTCTTTGAGATGTATTTGTTGTCAAGTGCCTCTCTAATTTTGTGAGTAATCACAGTTAGGATATCAGCAGTGGACCAGACCGATCGAAATTCGTATTGTTTGTCGCTCAAGAAGTTGTTCCTATTAAAGCGATCAACAACCTTTTTGTTGATTATAATTCCATAGGGTTTTCTAATGACACTGAGGAGACTGATGGATCTATACTGTGACGGGTTAATATTCTTAAGAACTACTGGGCTATTGTCTGGACTGGTGGCCTTCTTCGGGTCAAGACTTTTGATAGGTGTTGAAGCTTCCCAGGCTGTAATGAAACATTACGGGGATTGTGCTCAGTGAGACGAGGAAGTGGGTGGCTTTTGTCATCTAACGTTGAATTCGAGGAAAAAGGTCGAGGCGAAGAGCTTTACCTTTGTCCGACAAGAATGAGTTGACCTTTAACATTTATAACAGCAGGCACGGATGATTTGCTTCTATTCAGAATTTGGTTATAGATCTTCCAGAACTCCCGGGATCCAATTTCTTTCCTTTCAACCTTTGCGTTTGGACTGCTCGAGAATAGATGCACTTAGTATTTTCTAGAACTATCTTGCATTGATTGCGATAGGTTCTGAATCTGAATGTGATAAATATAGTAGTATTGGATACGATGATCTATGGTTGCAGCACATTCCAGGGTGAACCAGGACTGTCTGTTCGCTTTCTGAGGTATCAAATTCTCCATTCCATTAAGGATCCATTTTGATACAAGGTCAGTAGTTTTTGAGGCAGTGTATTTGAACTGTCGCTGTTCAGTAATAAATATAGCATACCTTAAATCTGTTAATGGATAGCTTTTGTTTACATCTGCCAGTTAAGTGCCATACGTAATACACGTTTAGGGGATCTCTTTCAAGTCATGACTGACTAGGCAGAAGATATTCCCGCAGTAGGTGGCCGTTTCTGCGATAGACAAGTTACCAAACAAGGTTATAGGGCCCGGTCCGTCCTGCTATTAAACCCATATCGGAGGTGGGAGTAGAGGAAATGGATATATGCCTTTCCCCAATGGTATTTACGCTCTCCGAATTCGCCGTTAGCCACTACACCACAATTTATGTTACATTTGAACAATATCGGCGGATAAAAAATGATTTTATTTGAATAAAATTATATGTATAAATTCATATGTAAGTAGGTGGTACACCAATACTTTGATCATTTTTTTAATCATTTCACCCCAAGCAAAGTGGGAATACCATTGATACGCAGGGAGTGAAAATGGAAGAGAAGACTGAGAATAGAGAGGATTAAGAAAAGGACAAAAGATGAACGAGTTTCAAGAAAGCAGAAGATGGCGATTGACGTTATATTGAAATTTTTGAAGATTGTATTTATCAGGGAAGAAAGGAAACGGAAGGGAGTTCCACTGGTGGGAAGTGCAAGAAAATAAACTGTTGGAGTAGAATTGGCTGTCACATTTAGCTATTTCAACAGTACAACGGATGGATTTAGTTGCCACTCTAGTAGCACGCTTAAATTCATATAAGTCGGGGCATCAGGGGAGAAAAAGCTCGTCAAAGCAGTTGACATGAAAATATTTGTAGAAATTATCACTATTTCTGTGACCAATTAGAAAACCATAAATTGAATTGAATTACACAATTGCATAGAAGCTTTTGTTTACATGTGTCAATTAAGTGCCATACGTAATACACGTTTAGGAGATTATATCTCTTTCGATTCATGACTGACTAGGCAGAAGATATTCCCGCAGTAGGTGGCCATTTCTTTCTGCTATAGGCAGGATGCCAAACAAGGTTATAGAACCCGGTCTGTCCTACTATTAAACTCATCTCGGGGGTGGGGGCAGAGGAGATGGATATATACCTTTCCCAATGGGTATTTACGCTCTCCAAATCCTCATTCCGAGCCGTGAGCCACGACGCCACAATTTATGTTTCATTAGTTATGAACAATATCGGCCGATAAAAAAATGATTTTATTGAATTATAAGCTGACAAAATATGTTTTATAAAGGCTGCTTACAATCGCGCCAAAAGCATTGGTTTTCGTTCGATCATTTCAGTTAAGCACTTGAGAAATCGGGGAGCCGAGTTCGAATTCCAATCGAATCCATTGCATTCACTTACATACTAATAGCCTTGGGAAAGGTATGAATCATCTTCTTCTCTCCCCCTAGCTATGGGTAAATAGCAGGATAGACCGGGTTTTATAGCTTCGGATGGCAACTGGTCTACTGCAGAAAGAAATGGCAACCTACTGCGGGAAAAAATCTGCCTCGTCAGTCATGTATCGAAAGATACATGATCGCCTAAGCGTGTATCACGCATGGCAAATAACTATTTGACGTGCTAATACAGTTTGGTAACGTATGAATCCTCTTCTTCTAAGGAATGGGTAAATAGCAGGACAGACCGGATTCTATTGCCTTGGATGGCAACTGGTCTACCGCAGAAAAAAATAGCAAAATACTGCGGGAAAAAATCTGCCTCGTCAGTTATGTATCGAAAGATACATGATCGCGTAAACGTGTATCATGCATGGCACATAACTAACTGACGTGGAAATACAATTGGGAAAGTTATGAATCCTCTTCTATAAGCTATGGGTAACCAGCAGGATAGACCAGGTTCTATAGCCTTGGATGGCAACTGGTCTACTGCAGAAAGAAATGGCAATCTACTGCGGGAAAAAATATCTGCCTCGTCAGTCATGTATTGAAAGATACATGATCGTCTAAGCGTGTATCACGCATGGCACATAACTGACTGAGAGCTGTAGCTGTATTAAAGTTACAGCAACCGCCGTCTGTCTAACTCACTGCATTAGCAAAGAGGAACCCGGACGAAGCTTTGCCGAAGAGCAAGGTTTCGTTCGGGGAGGTTGACAGCTCTCTAACTCGCCTAGGCGAGTCGAATGCTATATTTTTGGCCGGGCCTACAGGCTCGGGTGACCACGTAAAACTCGGCCTTGTGCCACATGTGACCCCTCGTGGCGGGGGGGGGACAGCTAAATATCTAACTGACTGAGAGAGGATCTTCCATCGGGTAAGATCTGAAACTGAACCAGTTTGCTTTCCTCTACCGAAACGGTCTATTAGCGGGGATGTCACATCCTTACGAAGAATTACTTCTATAGATAATTTAGTCCTCAGTCGGGACTTGCTTCCTCTATATGCCGTGTCTATTCAGGAAGTTAACGATTACGGCTCTTCACAATTTCCCGTCTTTTGTAGCTCTCCTTTTTTATCTCTCCTAAACCGTGTTCCTCTCTCCTTCTTGCCTTCAATCTATCCTGTGGGTATCAAATTTTCCAAGTCATCTTTCCTCATTATGTGTCCTAGAAATTTCAACCCTCTCTTCCTGATGTTAAGTATAAGTGTCTTTTTTATTTCCATTTTCTCTAAAACTTGCAAGGTAGGCTATGCGTTGTTTTCCTCTATCACCCTTTGCCTTCAATCTGTCCTGTGAGTATCACATTTTCCAAGCCCTCTTTCCTCATTATACGCCCTAGGAATTTCAAATCTCTCTGTCTAATATTAAGTATGTCTCCTTTTTTTTCCATTTTCTCTGAAACTTGCTAGGTAGGTTAAGCGTTGTTTTCCTCTATCCTTCTTTGCCTTCAACCTGTCCTGTGAGTATCAGATTTTCCAAGCCCTCTTTCCTCCTTATGCGCCACAGAAATATCCACTGTCTCTTCCTGATGTTAAGT